TTGTAGAAAAAGAAGGGACACAATATTTCTGTTTTAAGTTAGTGCTTTACTAGCTTCACCTGGTTCTTCAGCTCTGCTTGTGACATGACCTGAGGTAGCTCTAGTTCTTACTGTGACGACTTCTCAGTGACCTGCCCAGTCCTTAGATTTGAGTCCTTGAGTCTCCTAAGAGCTATGCTTATTTGGTTCTTTGCCTTTCTTTTTGCACACTGCAGACTTATCCAGCATGACTACCTCCTGCACTCAGAGGTTTTGTTAGAAAGAAAATAAAAAATTACTTACGCTGCTGGGGTATAAAAGTGGCAGAGGAAGCAGCAGAAGTGGAATGAGAACAACGAGCAAGAGATTTCTGGATCGGAGAATCTCCTTCATCATTGCCATACTCTTTTACTTTCTGGTAGCTTTCTTCCCTTTGGGTTTCTTCTCCAGTTCCTCAGATACTTCAACTTCAACTCCACGTTTTCCTTCACCTGTGCCTGGATTTCCCTGAAAGGTCTCTCACTGACTCATTTCCTATCCCCACCCAGTCACCTAAAATAACTTTATTTATTCTTCAATCTGTTGTTCTGAAAATATTTTTTTTTCAATTAAAAAGATATTTGGTTTATGTAGGGCTCACCAGCACATCCAAATTATTATCACACCATAACATGCAGAGGTTTGCAAGTTCAAGCATATTGATCTTTTGACAATTTTTCTTTTTGATTCAGAATCACAAGTGTACCTGTGTTGCATCCTTATCCACATGTTTTGGAAAGTTTTTTTCTTCCATCATCTAGCAATGTAATTCCTGTCTTCATAAACCGGGAGAGGTATGTTTCAGGCTGCTTCTTTTCCTCCTGTTTGATAGTCTGAATGTCTCAAATACAGGTTTATTTTCTGATGGAAAATTAAAACCAAAATGTATTGTTCGGTGCACAGAAGCAAACTTGGAGGTATTCCTTCTAAAAAAAACCAAAAAACAAAAACAAACCAAAACCAAAAAACAGAAAACCTGCAGCTCCTACAGATTTTGTCTCTTTGTTATAGTTTTTTCTTCTACTTTATATCTACCTTTACCCTACTTTTGCCCTGAGCTTGGAATTCACAGGGCAGCAATTCCAACACAGATTATACTTGGTCTCAAGAAAAAAACTTGTTAAAAACCTTCGTGCAACTCTAATTCACCAATGAGGACTGGAGAAAGTAGTAGTTGCTCCACCCATTGTCCAAAACCCAGTCAGAACATTTGAGAAAATCAGCAGCCTCCTCTTTCTGACCTGCACACAAACACACAAAAAGACCTTTTTTAAGTTACTGAACAATTTGTTATTATTTCAGGGTCCCAGTACTGATGATAAATAAATAATCATTGTTTTCTAAACAGTATCTTTTGTCTTTCACATTTCTTCTATCCTGATTCATGAATGTCACTTATTCATAAGGCATGGGCTGATCTCTCTACTGATTCATGTGCCCTCAGTAACAGTAGGATTCAGACTCAAATTGAGAATTTTTAGAATTTCTACTCATTTTCTAGTGGAGAAGCATTTCTACAACTCCGCTGTTATTAATGCTTTTTGTGGGGCAGAAAGAACCGGAGCTTTAGGACTGAATCCATTGGCTGGGTTCATGCCCAACCTGTGGGCGGTCATCCATTTACCCTGTATCTCATAGGAAGAAGCCACACACATAGGATTTTCTATGTTCCCAAACCTTGCTTGCCTATCATCTCCCCACACTTTGCTAATCAGATGCAAACTAAGCTCCCCAGACTGAACTGGGATGCCTCTGTGACACTGAGTCCTGGAGAACTGGCAAAGGCAGACCTGCAGAGGAGTTGGATGTGCAGGATGAATTCTTCCTGAAATATGTAATTGTATCTAAGACTATGTAAAGTTTCTGTACCTTGAAACTTTCATCAAGCAACAGAACCTTGTGACCCTTCAGGCAAATTTAGCAATTAGTTCTGGAAGCAAAAATTTAGTTAATCAGAAGATTTTTGGTTGGCCAATACAGCCAGGAAATTTGTATCTGTTTTGCCAGTTGTTTCAGAGAAACTAAAAGAATGTATGTAATACTAAAAAAAAATTAAAATGTTTTATTTTAAATGAAAAAAAATCTATGTTTTATTTCAATTTTTCATGATCTGCAAGGTCAAAGGGTGGATAAATGGAGCCAACAGCTCTTCACTCTGTGAGAGAAGCACTGTCTATAAACATGACTCAGTCTGAAGTGACGCTGCAAATTGAGCTAGGGAGCAGGCAACCTACACCTGCATCTTAAGCAATATTGAGGGAGGGAAGATCCCTAAGCCCAAAGACCTACCCTGAGGCAGAGTTCTCTTTCGCACCTGAACTCTGGAAAAAAGAGGCACTCTGGTTCCTATCTATTACATCCTTCTGCTGGTCAGAGGGAAGGGCTGTTCCCTCTTCTCTCCAGTGAAGAGTTTCACAGTCTGAGATAACCAATTACTCAAGCTGCAAGCTGCTAAATAGTAAATCTGTTGCTGAAATCAATACAATACAAAACCAGCTAGTTTTGTGTAGAATATTTTTATTATTACATTGACAGTCTGTTAAATTAATCTGGGCAGTCCAAGCACATTCCCAAGAAATAAATCTTTTTCCTACACTACACACAGTGATGGGAGGAGTGAAGCAAACTCAGAATGTTTTCTGTTGAGGAGATAAAGGTTTTAATTACCAATTTGTAAGGTATGTATGCCATAGGGATCAGATATTCAAAATTATCTGTAATTCTTTTCTATGGGATACTTACTGATGAGTAAACTCTGACTGCTGGACAGTCCTGTTGTGGGGTGAGGAGAGTGGCTGGGACATATTTCTCTGGATGGTAACTGCTAGCAATTAATGCTTGCCGTGGTGCTCTTTCTTGTTATCTTTGCAGACTTGGAGTCACTGGCTGTAAGGGATTTATGAATTGCCCTGGTTCCAGGCTCTTCCAGCGAGTGGTGCCTCAGGGAGCCAAGAAACAGCTGGGAAGGCAAGAGTGTGCTCAGTGGCATTTCTCCATGTGTTTATAAAGCATGGTGTGGGAAGAAAACACAAACACATCGTCAGTGTTTATGCTGAAGGCTTAAAGGGAATGTGAGCTGTAGCACAAGGCTGCTTTGTGGGCACTGAGCTGTGTGTGCAAGTAGAGGAGACGGAGATACTTGTGGCTCGTACGTTTGTGGTTGAGGTTTTCAGTTTCCTTTGCCATATGCCAGCCAGACTTTGAAGACGGCCAACAATGATCTTCAGATATAAGAGTGCACCTGCACGTATGTGCATCTGAATGGAAACATGCACACTCAAGCATACACTTACAGAAACTGCTGGGAGAAACAGGACTGACAGGTTTTTATAAGCCCTTTGTCCAGGGCTTATAAATGCAGCTGCTTATGTTATTTCCAGCCTATCCCTAAGGCTGCTGTAGTTCCACATTCCCACGAGTGATTGCCAAACCCAGTGGTGCTCTGACTGCTTGCGCTGTTTGCTGCAGCAACATGGTGCTGGATGGGTTTTTTCAGCTCCGGTCACTGGAGTATCCCTGTTAAGGGACACGGAAGAGTTCATTCCTTTTACTCAAGTGATGCAAAGCAGTTAAACATGATTCAGAACTGGGGCTGCAATCCTCAATTCTCTTTTACAACCTCAGAGATTTGTGATTTGGGACTGTCTCCTTGAGATATTATGCAAATAGAGAGATAGAGAGTATTGGTACGAAAGGATGAAATAAATGTTCAGCTGTTTTCCCATGCTCTGGAAGTAGAAGCACCTCTAATACTAATAGAGAAACAACATTCGTATAAATTGTTCACAAAAATCAGGGGATTTGCTTTATAGGAGTGTGTATTTTTCATTGCTAATCATCTATCTGACAAGATATATCTCCTTTTTCTGTCCATTTTCTGTCCATGATTTTTTTGCAGTTTATATGAATCAGTTGCACTATTTCTACAAACAATTTCTGCTGTAAAAAGTACTGCTTTTCCACTGCTCCCAAATTCATAATTCCCACCACTGGATTGGTGAATGGCCTTTTCTGCTAAGTGATCAGATGCAATTTTTCTCTGATTAAACAAGTTAGGATTCTTCCATGTACTCAGCGCTTACATGCACACACATGCATAAACATGCTCACACATAAACACAAGTGAATGTATAATTTACCATCAAAAATGAACCACACTGCTAAATTCAGCACCAGGTATGTTTTAATGCACCTTCCTCCCTTGCCTCAGGAGGATTCTGAAGCATGGATGACCTGTGTTCAAGTGCAAGACCAAGGAAAAATGTATCATCATTAAACTAAACAGGCCATTTGTCTTGCTTTCGTTTCTGCTGAGGACAATTCCAAGTTCCCTTCAAAAAACAAGGAGCAGAAGCAAAGTCATGTGCAAATAATGAAAGAATCATTGCAGACTGTTTCGGAGCACAGATCTAGGAATCAGGGAATATGTTCACAGGCATTGTTTGCTGCTGGTGTTCACAATGCTCTTTGTCTTCTGCAAATGTCATTGCAATTAAAAACTGGCTCAGCCAAATGAAGTGAATCAGACAGTGCTTATTTACAAGAATATTTGGAATGAATAATATTTGGCATAATTTCTGAAGGCTGACAGTTATGAAACATCTTCCTTTTACAGAGGGCCATTGAAACTCTTTATAATATTGTTTTACTGACCAGCCAAAATATGAACTTGCTTTTCCAGCTAAGAAAGCAGCATTCTCCAGTACATACACCCAGATATGTGACAATAAGCACAGTATAGTTATGTATTGCTTATGGGAAACCCAGAGGATGAAACAAGGCCATGTCTGTCTGGTACACCAGACTGCCTTCTTTGACTGTCATAGAATATGCCTCCAAGCCAGCACAAAAATCAGATTCCCACGACTGAATATAACTTTTTTTCCCCATTTAACGTGGAACTATAAAGTGGATTCCACAAGAGGGAGCTTGAAAACAAATAATCTTTCATGAAGCAGGCTACTAAACTCTTTACAGAATAAAGTTCAGGACATGCTACGTGTCCCTTATCAACCAGAAGAGTTGGCTGAGTTGCCGTTGCATCAAGTCTCCCATGATGATGTCTCTTTGCTGTATGGCAACATCAAGTCGTGCTTCAGGGCTTTGTAAAGACTGACAAAGGATTCAACCCAAATGTCTTTCTGGTGCCCCTGGGACTGAGCAGCTCTGTAGGCTGTGTAGACCATGGTCAGCACTGTCCTTTCAAAGTCTTCTTTCTTGAGGACCCGTGGGTAGGAAGACAGCCTGCTACTCAGCCTGCGGATCTCTGTGATGCTCTTGGGGATAATCTCATTGCAGATGGTGTCAAACTCAGCAGCCTTCCTCAGTGAAGCAAGCTCCTCATCTTTGATGGAGATCCTCTGACCTTTGTCAATGTCAAGCTCAGCTAAAAGAAACTGGTACAAAATCAGAACACAGAAAGCTATTTATCTTCTCCAAGAGACTCGAGGCAGAGTAAATGTGAATGTCCTTAGCTCTTTACTTTAGGTCAAATGGAGAAAAAACTCTCATTGCAATGGCTGGAGGTGGGGTAGCCCAGAAAGTCTCTGTGTGAACATTGGACTCCTGTGTTACCTACCTGGGAAAATTAGAGGCAGGCTATGGGGAAATGAAAGAGGAAAAGGAAAAAGCAGGTAGTTTTCTGTTGTCCAAAACAGGCATGGGTTGCTGCTGGTATCACATGGGGACTAAAGAGGTGGAGAGAGCAGCACAACTAGGAAAGGCTCTCTACCCTGCCAGGGATAGCAGTGCTGGCCTAGCTCTGTGTGAGAGAGCACAGCAGTGGCTTCCCAGCCCATCTTCCTTGTTTGGATATCCAATTCTAGTTTATCAAGGTGTGGGCTAGGTCGATTTGACCCATGCACATTCTTCCGGTGGGACACTTTCCCTCAGGCAACTGTATGACACTGTTCCAGACTGTGACTGACATCTGCAGTGTCCACTGCTGTGAAAGAGGGGACCTGAATTATTTTGAAGTGAAGCAGTCATGCCCTTGGGATTACTTTGCAAGGACTGATACTTGTGGCTTTATTGCTTTGAACAAATAATTTGGGACTGAGACTTTGACCAAAGAATTTAAATGCATTGTGTTGTTCATACGTAACTGTTCCGGAAGAAAGTTGCTTTCAGTAGAAAGCCATTTGCTCTGGTTTTCACTTTGCCTGTCAGTGAGATAGAACCCACGTTTGAGGTACTGCAGGCAACTGCTGCCTGCTTTAAGTGCTGAAAGAGCTGAGTTTGTCACATACATGTCTGTTCCCTCCTTTCTGGTGAGCTATTACATACTCAGCAATGGGTTTACTGCTGGGATGAGTAAGAGTGACATGAAGACAGATAATGGATAACCCCAGTATGGACAGTAACCCCAGTCTTAGTTAGGACATAAGGTACCATCTGCTCCCACATACTGAACCTCATAAAGCAGGACCACATCTTCCAGTGAGTTTTGTAGCACTGGGTTAAGGAAGGCGGCTGAGGACCTCTTGAATCGCTGAGCAGCTGGGAAAAGCATAGCTGGAAAATAAAAATGGGAGAAGAGAGGTTATATAGGGTGGCAAACATCGAAAAGAGGAAGCACTTTTCAATAGCAGATTCAACCAAAGTACTGTGTGTTGCAAAGGCTTACCGTACAGTATGACTTCTCACTGTAAATAAAATGGGCAGCATGGACTGCTTTGACTATAATCTACTAGGGATGGAGGTGCTTTGACTATAATCTACTAGGGATGGAGGCTAGCTGTTTGTCCTGTATCCATCTATGCTGTGTCTAACACAGAGCGGTTTATAATCCAAGCCTGGGACTCTGAGGTGCAGCCATGGTGTACAGCATAATAATGATAACTGTATTATAGACACTATTCTTCTCCTGGCTTTGCAACGGGAAACTAACACTGACCCTCAACACAGCCTACCTTCTTCAGGCCATTCTCCTACTGTCACGGTTCTAAGACCCTACATTTCTGCTGGTTTCAACTGTCTAAAAGTTAATCTCTCCTTAGTTGACAGACACAGCTCCTCCAGACAGTAGATCACCTCATCTGTCCTGGGCATATGTGTCTGGAAGGAGTGATTCTCCCTTTGGAAATGCCTATATCTATTCATTGAACCTGTTACCAGCTTAGACAAAACAGCTACATTCAATGAGGTGAATATGAATTTATTATGACTTCAATATTTCACAGTTTTATAGGTAGAAACAACAAAGTCCACTATGATCAGGTATTTATTTACCTCTGTGAAGTGTACTACAGATATTGTCTCAGGGAAATGAGACAGAAAAGTTATGTATAGTCACTGAACTCAGCAGCTCAGTGAGGTAGAGTGCTTGTGTAGTCAATGACCTGTACAAATCGGAGTATAGAAAACATCTGATGCTACATTACAGACCACATAAATGCTTTGAGTTACTAAGTAGACTACTGACCAGGTAACTAGGTATTATGAAAAGATGTAAGTTCCTTTCAGAGTAGAGGGGGAAAACCCTGTTTTGTTTGACGTTATGTGTAAGAGACTTAGATGTTGATGTTTAGGTAACCATACTTAGGATTAGTTGGATTTTTTTCAAATACTCAGGAATAGGAAATTTTTATTAAAGCTGTGCTTCTCCGACTATCAGTACATTTCCTCATAAACTTCACTTCCCAACTTTAACTGTTGCTTACCAATAGATAAATTTGGAAATTGGTTTAAAAAAAAAGCAAAAAAAACCTCAACCTTTTGAAAGGCATTATGATTTCCCCCTTAAAATTTAGAGTTCGACAATTATGAGTAACATTTAATAGAACATGCAGCTTATTTTGAGTTTCTGAAAACTTTAATCCCACCCTCTGTCTACCAGATTTTTTTCCCATGAAATATTTTTCCTAGATCAATTTGTTTTTGCCAAAGTTCTTGTGATGAATTTTGCATGCTGTCTGTAGAAAATATGAATGTCATTTAAAGCTCTTTCTGCTGGGCATGCTGGCATGCAAAAAAACCCCATCTGGAACAACTGCAATTATTTTATGGAAAAGTTGTCCCTGATCTCTGACTACCTGGTTCCTCAGACAATTTGTTTCTTTGGCTATCCAAGAAGATCACAAATATGCATTTCCTTCTAGACTCTGTAGCCTAAATATTGTCATGTTTCCTGGGCTGTTGCCAACTGTTGACTTTGTTAAAGTTTGACTTAATGACATTTAAATTCTAGTAACACAAGGAGAAAGAAACCAGGCCCTCAGAGATTTGGTTAATTAGAACCTCTACTATCTGGCATAAGGAAAATTAATTGGAATAATACCAGGTATATATTGCTTGACCCAGCAAAGGGTATTTTGGTCTTGAATTAGCTAGGGCATACAGCACAGATAAGATAGTTTGTTAAATTGCAATAAACATACTGCAGCTGAATACTAACTGCAAATGCATCCTACAGTGAGGGATAACAGGCATTTTGGTAAGACGTACAGTGTTAGGTGCTTCGTATTGAATCGACGTGAGTTTAGATTAAAACTTGTTTAAAGTATTGAACAGTACTTTCAGGTTAAGTGAGTAAAAGCCTGAAGGAATGAATGCATCCAGTAAACGAAAGAAGGTGTTGAAAAGGACTTGGTTTCTGCAGCAGGCTTTCCCCATCACAATGCTTTTACCACCTGAGCATCTTGTCTGGCCCAGCCGAGGACACGACGAGTTTGGGAAAGGTCACAAGCCACCTGCACGTTCTGCTTTGCAAGAGTATTTGCTTGGCTGACCACTGTCTACTGGGGCTATACCCATTTTCTGCTGCTGCTCCATCACTGATGTTCACCCCTCTTGCTCAGATCTTTATTGAGACACACTGGAGCTACTCCATCTTTTGCTTTTGGCAATTGGAGAATGCAATTGAGTGCATGTGAAGCACTTGAAACTTCATGCACTAATTGCTGAGTAATTAAAACTTTTACTATCAGGCAATTAAAACTCTAATTACTAAGCAGCTGGCAGAAATCCAGTCCATAATGATGACGATTCATTTTTATCTCTTTTAGATGTCCTTTTAGTGGGAACAGCCTCAGAGTGCAGAGTACCTCTACATATACAGATGGCTTACATCTCAAATGCTCCCTGAGCTATGGTGTCTGTGGCATCTTGTTTCAGTACTGTCATGCTTATTATCATCACATGGATCGCTTTTAGCTTTAAGGCCAGCTGCAGATTCCTACCATGGAGCTGAGCTAGGAGTCATCAGGTTCAGCCCATTACTGTTCACCCAGAAAAATCTCAGAGAAGGACCCACACAAAAATTAATTCCGTATTATTGGTTTAGTAGTGACCCACTTGCTGAATCATGGATAATGCCTCTGAAAGCAGCTGAGTTTTTTCTACCCAGCACTTCCCAGGATAACACAGATTATGCTAGGAGATTCAGAGGAATAAGAGCATGAGCTGCTATGTTGTAAGAAAGGACTCTGTATGCATATCAGAAGCATACGATCCTCTGTAGGGACTAGGCTAGCTCTGACTCCCTGATCCCATTATCTTTTTCCCGAAACGTATCAAACTTTGTTATAGTTATTAGACACTCTCAGAAACTCTTTCAAAGCTCATTTGTATTAGTCATGGTGATCTGCTTTTCCTGATCCACGTTGTATTTCAGTCATTCCCTTTCTTTCTCTTCCTGCACAGTAGCCAAATCCTTCCACCATCACTCCCTACACAGTCCTCTCCGTCAATCCACAAGTTCCTCCCAGATGGTGTGAGCATTTAGAGCAAACATTATCTGATTTTCACTACACTGACTTAACACACGTACAAGTTAAGCACAAAAGCTGAGACAGACAAAGATTTGCACCCAGTTTCTGCATTTAGTGATGACAAATTTAACTTGAAACTTTTCTGCTGATTTTACTTCTTCATTTACTTCCATCTCTGACATGAGTTAGCTGGGCAGTATCAAAGAACAGCAGAGGAGTATTGCTGTGACTTACCATCTCTTTACTGTTTTCTTCCCCAAGGGAGTTCCCTGTAAAGCTATCAAGCAATTATTTCAGAGCAAGATGCAGAGCAATGTGCGTCATTTTATGGTGATGTTGCAGCCAATTAGTTTCAATGTCAGTAGCTGTGAATGTCATAGGAGAAGAGATCCTTAATCAGTATTGACAGAGAAAGCCCACCCAGTGATCTCTGAAGTCAGTGGAGAGTCTCTGATTGATTTATTGTTTTTACTTCTCTTACAAATGTGTAAAGACATCTCCAACTGAGATGTGGGTGCTTCTGTCCTAAGGGCTGAAGAGTCACATAACAGAAAGCTTATATCCACAGAGATGAGGTAGGGAAAATAAGGTTTTGATTATCCTTACTGAAAACATTTTCTATTATGTATCTATGTACTACCAGGCTCATCCTCTTCCAAATCCTTCTTCATAGGGGCCTTAGGAATGCTGCCTGATCTGACTTCCCTCGCTGCCCACTGAGGCCTCAGGGCTAGAGGTGGATGGTAGCAGCGTGACCAAGTGCAGCCACCCACTCCCAGCCCACCTGCCTGACCCTGAATGGCCTCTTCCTGTGCCCTGAGCCTAACACTTCTTGTACCTGAAGATGGTGGACAGCCAAGAAGTCTAGTCTTAAGGGTGGCTGAAAGTGCCTGTCAAAATATGGTGCAGGAGTCCCTGTTTTCTGCACCACTCACTGCCCGAGTCTGTCCAGTCTCCTACAGCTCTGTTGGCTCAACTCCTCTTCTCCTTAAGGACTACCATGGTTCCCAGCTCGTTGGCCTGCTTCTAACTATTTACCTCATGACAGGTAAGAAATTTCTTTATGGTTTAAACATAACATCACACCTGAGGCTGACAGGAGCTTTATTTTAAAGATGCTTTCATCTTTTTTAAGAACTGTGCTAGAATTTTCTGGACCTCATTAGCCACCTGGTAAACATTCGTGATCCTCTCCCAGGTTTTCCGTGCAGTTTCACTGACAAGGATACAGATGTTTAGTTTTGCTTTCCAGTCTACACTCCATGATTTCCCAATTGCTGCCTGTGATGTTTTTGCTCAATAAGTACAGAGCATAGCTGTAGGAGTACTCAGTTATTTTTGCATTATCAATGCCCTTTTCTTCTCCTATTAAAAGGTATGAAGCAAAGAGCATGAATGAGACCCTGCACAGGCCATTTCTCTAAAGCATGTACAGCTCCCCAGGGCTCCAGGACATGCACACAGTTTAACTGGGGTCATGACTCAGTAGGAATTATTTTGATTGACTTCAGAGGCATGGAAAAGGGCTATCTCATTGCTCCAGTGGGACCCCTTTAATGAAGGACAGGAGGAGAAGAGGAAAAAGAAGGACTTGTGGGCCAAAGCTCGTGACTTCTTGCAAGCAAAGAAAGGCAGATTTGCCTGTTGGCATTGGGAAAAACAGTGTCCTGGCTATAGTTGTCCTATAAACCAAATTCAGTCACTGACTTCTTGGGACCAGCCCCCTATTTCTGGGAGTGCAAGGAAGGGAGCAGTTGCACAGGCAGCAGCAGTTTCTGTTCAGTGATGGATCTGAAAAGGAAA